AAGTTTAGGCTCGTATGCACAACCAAACAACCTCCCATTTTCCGGTCAAATTCTCGCCGGAAAAGATGTATCAAACGACTCCTCAAAACCCACTCTCAAATCACCAACGGATTACACACTTGTTTGGACCAGTGAGTCTTTAGATATCAAGAAAGATGGTGAAGCTTACATTTGGCTCCCAAATGCTCCCGATGGCTACAAAGCCGTCGGGTACGTCATCGGCAACTTGTCGGTGAAACCACCGGTGGATAAAGTCCAATGTGTCCGTACAGACTTAACCGACACCACAAACACAACGGACCTGGTAAACGATAACGTTCTTTATCTTGATGGGTTAAGTGTACGTGGTTCCATGAATGGTTTCGTGGTTCGAAATGGAAGTGTAGCGAGTTTGAAGGGGAATTTATCCAATTCAATGCCGAATGTAAACCAAATCAAAGCATTGATCGAAGCTTACTCTCCGGTGATCTACCTCCATCCCGATGAACCTTACCTCCCATCTTCAGTCGACTGGTTTTTCCAAAACGGCGCTTTGCTATACCAACGAGGGGTGGAATCCAAGCCGAACCCAGTTCAGAAAAACGGCTCGAACCTTCCACAAGGTGGCTCGAACGATGAGGCATATTGGTTAGATCTTCCACATGATGGTTCGAGCCAAGATCGAGTCAAGAAAGGATCTTTACAAGATGCTTCTGCTTATTTCCATGTTAAACCTATTTCCGGAGGGCTATTTACCGACATTGCCATATGGGTTTTCTACCCTTTCAACGGTGGAGCAAGGGCAAAAGTGGAATTTGTCAACCTCTCTTTAGGAAAGTTTGGTGAACATGTAGGTGATTGGGAACATGTCACCTTAAGAGTTAGTAACTTTAAAGGCGAGTTACACAGTGTCTTCTTTTCGCAACATGGTTGGGGTCAATGGGTGAGTGCATCGGATCTTGAGTACCACTCCGGGAACAAACCGGCGGTTTATGCATCGTTGCATGGCCATGCATCGTATCCAAAACCAGGGTGTGTTTTGTTGGGTTCTGGTGGGGTGGATATTGGTGTCCGAGATGACACTGCTAAGAGTGATAAGGTGATGGATACTGGAGTGAGGGCGGTGGTGATTGCGGCGGAGTATATGGGGACGACGGTGGTGGAACCACCGTGGTTAAATTATGAAAGGAAATGGGGCCCAAAGATTGATTATGACGTCGATAAAGAGATGAATAAAGTGAAGAGGATGATGATAGGGAAGTTAAAGAAGGCTTTTGAGAGATTGGTGGAGAGTCTACCAAGGGAGATGTTGGGTGAAGATGGGCCAACGGGGCCAAAAGTGAAGAATAGTTGGAGTGGGGATGAAACTCTTTGATTAATAAATTAGGAACTAGGAAGTGGTTGATCAAATATTCATTCTCAAGAATGTATGGTTTCTTATAATTTTAGTGGAATCATAATTTAAATATTACTCCATTTTTTATTACATAATGAGAGGAAAATTCTGATATAATGACAAAAGTTAAGATCTATTAAGAAAACATTTAATTTTTTAGTTACTAAATTTGAACGATATTCATTTAAAACATATAATCTTTCAAGTCATAATCATTTAAGTCATGTAAATAAATTGTTTGGTTAACTAAAATGTTTGTCAATATAAAATATTATTTCATGTTTGGTTATTTTGAATAAAATAAAAAGATGAATGATAAAAAAATGTTAGGAAAACTCTAGATGAATCTGATAATTAAAGTTTTGAAAGCCTAAAATTTATTAAAGTGATTTTCTCAATTTTAAGTAGAAAGGTTACCCGAGAAGAAGTTTTATATATTGTTTATGAATTGATAAATATGACAGACGTAAAAAGTACGATGATGAAAAGCCCAAGTTTTGCCCCGGATCGTTTTTTTCATGTTTTTTATGAAAAAATGTAAAAGTTTTGACTGCAATGATCAGAAGTGTCAAAATGGCTAAAGAATTAAAGGGGTTGGATTAGCAAGTTTTTAGAAAAAGGATCAAAGTTGTCAAACCATTAAAGTTTTGTGGTCAAACTTTAAATATTAAAAGGTTCCTAAAAAGTGTAAAAATATTGATTGCAAGGACAAAAGGTATCAAAATGGCTAAAGAATGAGAAGCAAAGTTGACAAAAAAACATCAAAATTTACTATTTCTAACTTTGAAGCCCAACAATAGTACATGGACCAATTCTACCAAAAATATCGTAACTTCACTATTCCTAAGATTCATATATCTTTAATTAATATATATATATATATATATATATATATATATATATATATATATATATATGATTAAATTTTCTTAATTATATTTTCTTTATATTTCAGTAAATTATTAGGAAAATTGGGTAATCTAACATTTTTTTTAAAAAATAACCTTTTGGTCCGGAATGAGTCATTTCGAACCCGAAAACCGATCCAAACCCAATATTATAGCCCATTGATAGATCTAGAATACGCGTTCCAGAATTAGCATATCCGAAGTGCAATCTAACTGCATGTCAGACCAAATTTTCAGCATGAATTCGTCAAACCAAGTAAGTTCTACACTTTAAGTGATTTTACATTTGATTTTCTGAAATGATTTACGTATTCCAGAATGGTCCGGAACACAAGGAACAACTCTGGAATATTTGAATTATCCATTTTTTATTTTTTTCTCGTTGTACGTGTATGAATGTTATGTAAGTACTTTGTAATGTATTTCTGATCGGTTGTTTTAGTCTAGTATTACGTATTGTAGGGGTTCTAGAATGGTAATGTACGTTCGGAATACGATGAACGTAGTCCGGAACCTGATGATCTATTCCGGAATGATGATCCAGAATACATATAATACACAATTTTTTTTTCTAAGTATTGTTTAATAACCCATGTTAGTCCAAAGACGAGTTAACGTGGATGTTGTTAAAAAAATAGTGGGTTTTACGTACGACGAAGTTGTATTCCATTTACAGGAGGTTTTAGAATTGCACCCAATAAAGGTAAAATCGAAAAACAATAATTTTATAATTCTAATTTATTTTTACGGTAATGTATTTTTTTTCCATTTACAGGAGGTTCCAAAACCCTAGTCCTTGACTTAAGGCAAAAAGGCTCCTTCACCTTTGCCTTATTGGGCCTCCTTCTCTTCAAGGCCCAATTCCACAAAAACGCAAAAAAGCATCCAAGCCCACCATAGGGCCTTTAAGGCCCAATATAGCGCAAGGACCCTAAACATGGCATTAGGCCCAAAAATGACTTGCTACAACCAGGTGGGCCCAAGGTCCAACTTACTCAAATCTAAAGCCCAACATTAATTTAGCCCAAAATCTTCCAAGCCCACAACTAGCGTACGCGCGGCGTAGTTAGCTTGTACGTCCAACGTACGCTAGTGTTGACCAAGGGTCGAGGCGCTGACCTAGTACGCGCAACGTATGTTTGAGTACACATAGTGTACTGGTCTGCCACCCCATTCTTACTTCAATGACTTAATCTATAACATCCCAAAATTCAAGACCAACAATTTCATTTTTGATTCATAAAACATATTATAGAAACCAACATCAAGTTATATTATTTCATAAAAACCATAGATCATATATCTCAAAGGCATGTCATAAGATAGCAATAAAGTCAGAGTACAAATCCCAAAAATCTCATATGCGAAAAATCGTATGTGTGATGCGCTGCTACCGTGCCGACTCCTTTCCCTTCGAAGAAGAAGGACCTAAAGCAAAAACTGAAAACCGTAAACACCAAGCTTAGTGAGTTCCCCCATCATACGACATACCATATAATCATATAATACCTAGCATATCTGGATGTTGGCCTAGTCTCTTTCAACCAGTAACTGCCTAGCATATCTAGGTGTTGGCCTCCCCTTCGCTCTCTTTCAACCGGTAACTCCCTAGCATGTCTGGGTGCTGGCCTCCCCTTCGGTCTCTTTCAACCGGTAACCAATGACTATTTCACCCCTACCACTACCATATAATAACATAGCATACTAGCACAAAAAGCATAACAGATAGTGGTATACCAGACAATTATCACAAAGACAATCATCTCAACTATAATCACCTACTAGTGGGCTGACATTGGTGCCTTAGACCCACTTCTATTGGAAGGTAACTCACCTAAATGTAGCATAGTAATTGAATTGTCCTCGGTGGTGGGATCAACTCCTCTCAAACTCCTACACATAACAAACTCCTTTAATTACCCTTTCATACTTATAACCCCTTTATGGGTTAACTCTGGTCTTTGGTCAAAGTCAAAGTCTATATCCTGGTTGACTTAACTCGCCGAGTTGGTCCATCAACATGTCGAGGTTTTTATTTTTTACAGTTTAGATTTACAGTGTGAATCTACACTGTTCGAGGTTTTTATTTTTTAATCGGTGTTGATGTTTATTAATAGAATACAAAAAATTAATATTTTTGGTATAATTAGTTTTTTTTTTTGATAAAAATAAAGTTAAATATTGAAAAAACTAAGAAATTAAGTGGGTTTTTTTCGGAAAAAAAAAAGTATGTATTTTATATATCATCATGGATCTCTATGGAAAGAGGACGAAAAATCGTGAACAACGGTATATTCGTTTTTTTTTTTCGATAAAAAACTTGGCCTAAAATTTTTTAAATGAAAAGAGGAAGTGAGTTTTGTTATAATTCGATACATCTGCGTGAATTTTAAAAGTTTAAAGCCCTTCATTTTGCCATTGATCGCTTTAAATTTCGACGCTTTGGATTGGTTCCTTGGTTACTCTCTCTCTCTCTCTCTCTCTCTCTCTCTCTCTATATATATATATATATATATATATATATATATATATATATATATATATATATATATATATAGAGAGAGAGAGAGAGAGAGAGAGCTAGGTTTATTTGTTTAAACTAAGTATTGTATTATTGTACGCATAAATGTGGGCCAATCAAAATTAAATAATTAAATAAATAAATAAGGGTAAATTAGTCATTTGTTTAATAACTTCCAAAAATAATCCCTATAATC